AGGGAATCAGCCTATAGTCAGAATATTCTCTCACCCTAAACAAAGTTAAATACAGAAATAATGAAATAAATTCAGCTTATTTTAAGTCAAGCCCTTTTTTACTGGTTTCAGCCAAAGCTGTAAAACTGAGTGCCATTTGGTACCTGCTTTAGATGGCAGAAGAAGTCAGAAGGCAACAAAGCTTTAGCGCTCAATAAACCTGGTTTAAACTTTATTCCAAAGGTCAAGTTTGATTGAAAAATCCCAAAGAACAAAAAAAGACCTAATTCCTCAATGTTCTTGGTATTTTCAGTTCTGAAGTCAGTTGGATCCAAAGCATCTGACCTCCCATCCCTATTTTCCTCTTTGACAGTGCTGAACTAAACAGCTCTTAAAAATCATAGAGTCAGTTGAAATTCAGTCAGGGCATCTGTCAGTACCATAATAGCAGATTTGGGCCAACATTTAAAAATGAGCAATTTGGAATCTGGTTCATTTTGGCATGCTGAGAGCCTGGCCAAAGTCTTCCCATAGCAGGTGGTTTAGTGGGAACTTGGTTCGTGAAGGCTCTGATGTGCTTCTATTTATATCTCTGTGTTAGATGATAAGCCTGAAGCTATGGTTGCTGTGAGTCTGCCAGACAAGAATCTAAAACAAAGCACAGAGTTGATTACCACTGGGCTCATTGCCAAGGGTCCTGCCACAATACTGCATAAGTGTAGTGCCCAGTGCCCCAATTGTGATTGGCCTTATTGTTTGTTTCTGGTGTCGGTCTAGCTGTCAGTACCACAATGGATTGTATCTGTTCTCTCCCAGAAACCAGACGGCTAATATTTAGTGGTGAGGTGAGGCTAGATACACTCACCCTGTATCATTGAGTAGAGCATCACTTAGTCACATATTAGACACCAGAAAGCTTTCTCAGCGAGATGGTGGAAGAGGTTCCTGTTCATAGATCTTAGCAATAAAAGCACTCCTTAATTTTATAAAAACACACATTAAATACATACATAAGTAAAGTGTTACAAAGATTTTTAAATGCATGGCCTTATTTGATGCTTATAACCACTTAGTGTTATAGGAGAGGTTTCTATTATCATTCTCATTTTCACATGAAAGAGGAAGTTAGAAGAGTTAAGCGATTTGCCTAAGATCACTCAGCCAACAAGAAGATCCAAGAATGATTCTGAGCTTTGCCATCTCTCCTCAGCTTTTGTTTGATGCACAGCCATCTGATATCTAAGTGGAGAGAATGGTGGCCTGGTGATTGCATTTAAGACTTATAATGATAAATTTAAAACCGTAACATTTAGCAGACTTCTAGTTGTGGCTACTACTGCTGTCGTGCCACAAATTCTAGTGTATTGATTTTTATCCATGCAGCATTTTAATATTGTGGACTTAAAAATGAACATTAGAATCCTACCGTCTTTGCAGTGTCTGTAGGGGTTAGTTTTTTTGCCTGGAAGGATGCTGTGAGGAAATATATTTTCAGGTGGTTTGGGTAAGGCTTATAATGTCTGGATAGCATGAAGTTGGTAATTAGATCATGATGGAATAGCAGCAAACTTTTTTGTTCAATTAATCAGAAAATATCATGGCATGCCTATGATGTTCAAAGAACTATGCCGAGTTGCTAAGAACTATACAAGGACTGACTGCCTTCAAAGAACTTACAGTTCCATTGGAGAGATAATACATGTGTATACAAAATAACCAGCCACATAGGGAAGCTATTTATAATGGCAAGGGTAGGTACGAGGCAAGGCAAGTCTGTAGGAGGAGAGATCACGGTGAGTTGAGGTGATTTTGGGAGACTCTTGTAGATTTTTTTAGTGGAAGCCAAATTTAGATACTGTATATGAAATGGGGGTAGGTTTCTAGATGGTATGTTGGGAATGAAGAAACAGCCATATATAAAGAAATAGAACAATAAAAGAATAAAACATATTGTGGATATGAGTAGACCTGTCTCACTCTGGACAGGAGTTTATAATACAAAGAGTGGAAGATAGATGTCAGAAAATTGATGGGAAGATTATGAGTGGCCCTGAATACCTGCATGAAGAGCTTATTCTGCTAATCTGTAAGGAAAGAAGTGTCATTCAAGTATTTTGAATGGGAGGCAGAAACTTAGAAAGCATCATTTTACCTGGTGGCAGTGTCCAGGATAGAGTGTGGAATAAAGGGAGAAACAGACTATCAGTGGAGGGACAAGTTAGAAAATGGAGCAAAAATCTGGATGGGAGGTGACCATCAGCAGAGCGTGATACCAGGCTAGACAGAGGCACTCGGGTCTCAACCCGGCTCCTGCGGCTGTTTTCTTTCTTCACACAGTAGCCACAAAGTGTCGCTGTAGCCTTTTTTTGCTTCCTGAAAAATGGCTTGGGGGATGACGAGGAGCTTTTCAAATGGCTGCAATGTGAAGTCATTTCTGCAGTTTTGGTGCTATCTTATCTCGTATTGAACAGTTTAGCATCATCTTTGAAAAGACCTGCGTTCCCAACCCTTTGGCCCTCTACACTCTGTGTCTTCTTGTAAGTTGTTCTCTTTAGGCAGTTGCAACTCTCAGGTGTTGGGGACTGTGGGGGCTGTTGCTGGCCCTGTAGTAGTAAACACACGGACATCAAACTGCAGCACTTAAGTTTGTGTGTGTGTGTGTGTGTGTGTGTGTGTGTGTGTGTGTCAGAAGCACTTTTTTTTTTTCTTGGGAAAAGATACTGTCATTGACAGAAGAAGAAATAGCAAGAGTCGTTATCTGGGAGGAGAGGAGCATATCAGGGGTCCTCAGGACCGCCCCAGGTTCAGTGATTCACTAGGAGGACTCACAGGACTCAGTCTGTAGTGCTAACATCTATGGTTTATTACAACACAAGAATACAAAATAAAATCAACAAAGGGAAGGGCTCATGGCACAAAGTCTGGAGGAGGCCAGGCACAAGCTTCCAAGAGTTCTCTCCCAGGGGAATCACACAGGATGTGCCTAATTGAAACACATGTGGAAGGAATATTGGACTCAGTGTCCAGGGTTTTTATTGAGGCCTTTTTACATAAGCACCCTCTGCATTGCACATAATAAAATTCCAGACTTCCAGAAGGACAGAAGATATTCAGCATAAACTACAATTGTTTGCACAAAAAGTTTCTTTTCTTTTTTTAAAAAAATTTTAATCTAGAGACAAGGTCTTACTGTGTTGCCTAGGCCAGTCACAAACTCCTGGGCTCAAGCGATCTACCTACTTCAGCATCCCAAAGTGCTGGAATTACAGGTGTGAGCCATCATGCCCCGCCTGTGCAAACAGTTTAGGCCCAATGAGACACTCTTAACTGTGCTGACAATTGGAGAAACCTTCCTGAAATCCAAGTTCCCAGATGCCAACCAAGGGCCAACCTTGCAAGCAGCCTTTCTTTACTTTTTAAAAATTTTTTATTTTATTATTATTTTTTTTGAGATGGAGTCTTGCTCTGTCACCCAGGCTGGAGGGCAGTAGCACGATTTCGGCTCACTGCCACTTCCAACTCTTGGGTTCAAGCAATTTTCCTGACTCAGCCTTCTAAGTAGCTAGGATTACAGGCGCCTGCCACCAAGCCCAGCTAACTTTTCTATTTTTAGTAGTGACGAGATTTCCCCATGTTGGCCAGGCTGGTCTTGAACTCCTGACCTCAGGTGATCTACCTGCCTCAGCCTTCCAAAGTGCTGGAATTACAGGCATGAGCCACCACACCCAGCTGCAAGCAGCCTTTCTAAGAAGTCTGATTTGCTATGTTAACTCTTTTCTGCACAGGGAGTGATAATACCACTTAGGTTTTTGAGAAGGAGATATTGATGGATACAATTTTCAAAACCCAGGAGAGTCTGATCTTAAGGTCATGTCTCTGGAAGTGGTAGTTGAGGTTGGAGCAAAAATAGTGAAACCAGTCCTGGTCGTCTGTCCACATACAGAAGACTGGAGAGGTAGAAGAGAACTGGGACGGTGTATTAGGAAATCAAGAGAGGAGAGAGGTTCAAAAGGAGGAAATGCTTGGTAGTAGATGAAGTACTGCAGATGGGCAGGGATTATGGGCACTGAAAAATGCCATTGGGACATCATTTAATAATGTTGTAATGGATTTTCAACTTAAAATTATCTGTACACATTAAGTCAGACTTATTTAGCCATTGCCTTGAATAGCTTTCCTGCCTATCACATCTTTCTGTTTTCTTTGGATCACCTTACAAAAGCTCTGTTTTAACATTTTTTATTGTGGCTTCGAATTTTTTGTTTGGGTTTAGATTTCACAGGCAGAGGGAAATGGATGAGCTTTGGGAAGGCTAAAAAAATTCTTTGTGTAATACTACTTATTTATCTCCGGCCATTATTTAGGGACAGCAGCAGCCGAAAATCACCTCTTCTTGATGGAAAAGTAATTCAGTTTGTTCCTTTAAGAGGATTGGGTTTACCATTTCATTGATTTCATCATTGCTTCCTGGTAAAGAATAAAAATTAAAAGCTGCTTGTTTTGAGTAGAGACATCTCAAGGGGCTTATGAAAGTGTCTGAATTTACTACTACACCCTTGGACTTCTCCAAGACCCTGGGTTCCAGTTATTGTCTCTGAAATTTCATTTTTTTTTTTCTGGGTTCTCAGACGCTAAAGGTGTATAGAGCCTCTAACATGAATGATTTTTGTTATACAAGACCATGTGAACCAATAGTGGCTTTTCCTTTGGTTGTAATAAAAATATATCAGAACTATATTTATTTTTTCAAAAACCTCGTTTTGTGTGTTTGACTTTGAGTAGTAGTGGGCTAGGAAATACCAGCACCTCCTCTCTCTCTCACTCGAAATGCTTCGGGAATAGAAAATCATCGCAGGCAGAAAGTGGAGAGTGTGGTGCTCAATGTGGCATTTGCAGTTCTACTTCCCTCCAGTGGTGGGTGACAGTTCTGGCCTTATTCACGTCATTGCACTTCAGGAGGGCAAATGTGTGCTGTAACTGAGTTGGTTTTAAATTCTCTGTCTCTTGTCCTAATATCCCAGGGCTTCCAGCAAAAGTTCTCCTTCCACAGTAAAGAGATTGTGGCTATCAGCTGTTCCTGGTGCAAGCAGGCGGTAAGTTTGGGATGAAATAAAGCAATGTGGGCTCATGTTTTGTCGGAATACACTTATGTCATTATTTGAGTTCCTCCCTGGAAGTAGAAGACATTCCTAATTTAATGTATTGCTTTTCTCATATAGGATCCTTGGAGGAAGAAAGATTGAAAGTATAGAACAATAGCATAGATGAACTGGGATATACTACAGAGAGAAATTAACTTCTGTATTTTATATACATTGAAGCTTGGGGTCAAAGACTAGAAAATCCTCCCCTAATTCTAACACTGGGACTAGAATTGAGGACTTCTGACTCCACATTTTCCCCCCAGTGCCTCTATATTGTTGAGAACTCCTCCTATGGTAGGAAGGTGCAACATTAGAAGCAAAGCAACGTACGACATACGAGGTCCCTCCAATACGGGTGGACACGAATCCTGGCTCTTCTGGTTTTAATGTTTAAAGTGCATGACTTTTTATTTTGGGGCTAAGTGTGAGGATAAGAAGAGTGGTTCTTGTATGCTTTTTTAGGTTTGGATGTTGTCTGTATGCTCACTGAAATGTAGCTCTTTCTTACATTTTAACATATATATTCATTAGGATCTGATGGTAACGTCCCTATTTACTTTTCTTCAATCTACCTTTTCCCCCACTTTATTTAGAGCCTAATTCCTCTGTCTGTACCAGATGCTACATTTTCTTATTTGTTTGTAACCGTGTACCTGTGCACCTGTTCTTTCTTTTACCAGATAACATATAGTCTAACCCAGGTGTTGGCAGACTACAGCTCATAGGCCAAGTCTGGCTGCCATCTGTTTTTGTAAATAAAATTTCATTGGAATGCAGCCATGCCCAGTTATTTATATATTGTCTGTGGCTGCTTTTTCATTTATGTGTTGTCTATAGATACTTTTGTGCCACAATGGCAAAGCTGAGTAATTGTAACAGAGGTGGATGGTCCCATAAACCTAAAATATTTACTCCCTGTGCCTTTATAGAAAAAGTTTGCTGATGCCTGCTGTAATTTCTCAATCTCCCTATTCTTTTGAATAAGTTGGAATATATAACCCCTTCATTGCACGGGGGACCTGCAAAGGAAAGGCTGTGGTGTCTTGGTGAGGTTAAAGGATTGCAGAAAACCCATGCCACTGCACACATCATGCTAAACACAGGCCATGGGGCTGGAACAGACGTATTTTGTTGAAACATATGAAATTGACATATTGTGGGTCAAAACCATTTAAATTTTGGCAGTTCCATATAGTTCAAACTAATAATATCTCTAGCCCCTACATGTCAGAAGAACCTGCCGTCACTAGATAGAGACTCAGTGGTCTGGAAAGCTCAGTGTCACTGCGTCACAATCCTGCAACATTTTTTATTCCTGGCATTTTCTTTCACTTTCAGTTAGTTGTTGCATAAGTAATCATTGCACATCTGTTCAAGAATGTGTGCACAACTATAAGGCCATCCTAGACCTTGAATGAAACTCTTTACCAGCAAGGCAATATCTCCATTTGCGATCCAGGGGTTCCCAGTGCTGCTATCTTTGCTCCTGGTTCTTCTGATCTGGCGAGACCCCACTGGTGGGGCAGCCTTCTGGGCGGCAGTGTGCTCAGATCGGCTGCATCTGCTCCTGCCCTGTGCAGCTACCAGGCTGTGGTGAGATGGTCTATCCAGATTCAGTTAATTTGGAAACTCAATCTCACTTTACAATGAACATGTGTGCTCTCTTTCTATTAATCTGTAGTCCAACTGAATCACTACAAAGGACAACTTTCACCTGACCATTGTGGTAGAGCTTTGGTCAGTTCCACATATCTTTGAATTTCCCAGTTTCCCACATTGTAGAGGGCGATTTTCGTAGGGACGATAGACACAAAAGATTTGAACACAAATTACAGTGGTGATATGTTTTCACAGTCCAGGTAAACCCCTTCTAGAATATTTGATGTCAGACAAGCAAATAAATATGTGACCCTTTATGGTACAGGAGGAAGAATATGGGGTTTGGGACCTGGATTTCCAGGGATGCGGTTTTGATTCCATCATTTAAAAACTGTGCAATCTTGGATGTACCTCTGAGTCTCTAGAGTGGAGATTACTCAAGTATTCATTGAGAGACTTGACATAGGCAGTCTCTGCGATCCCTAACATTTTAGAAATGCAGTGGTCATACATTTGAGGGTTTATTTGAATTGCCAAGAAGAAAAAGCAGTTTTCAAAGAAGGTATTCAAATATTAATAATATTTCTCTGGTATATTTGTTTGCAGATCATAAATAACTGGTGGCAGACAGAATTATTAATTATTTTATCAGTATTTTATACACAACTGCTTGATTAGTAATTAGCCACAGGATCATAGCAGATCTTGAAGACATGAAGACATGAAAACAAAAACCTCTCTAATGTTATGTAATGTAATTAGAGTGACCATATTTGCCAGATTTTTTTGGAGACGGTCCTAATTTGTGTTTGTGTTTTCAGCATAATTATTATCAGTGATACTTTTTACTTTTAACATTGTTGCAGTTAAAATGCTAAATTATGTAGTTAGGTGAAGTCTAATCTAAGAAGAAACTGAGGTTAAATTTTTAAAATCACTATGATTAAAATTTAAGGCCTACAATTATTGCATAATGTTGATTTTAGTTTTCTTTTTCAGAAAAATAAATGTTACTACACACCACTATCACATTATAGTCACACAAAAGATGGTTGAAAACTTGACTGGGCTGAGGTCACCAGTCTGAGTGTCACTGTTGGGGTATAGAATTAAGACCCTTATACTGTGGCATTGCTTCGATCATTAGCCTACATTTACTTCCTTTCGAAAGCAAAAATCACTTTAGACTTGCTAAGAGTAATAGGGTCATTGTATATTTTTTAGCAGTCCCAGACAAACCCAATAGAAACGATCTCTTTGTACTTTGTTACTTCTGGGATTTTCAACTCTGTAGAACAGACATCATGCTTCTTTCCTGCCCTCTCTAAACTGGAAAGACAACCTGGGAGGGTTTATATCTATGATAGGGAAAGGAAAGGCAGGTGGTAGGCATTGCCTTTCTGTCTGTTCATTTCCTTCTCAACGTTATCTTAAATCAACCAAGTCCATGGCCAGTGCAGGTCCTGTCTCTTATACACATCTAGATGTGTATAAGAGACAGTTCCTGTGGTCTCCAGACTCATCACGTAATTCATTCTTGTTGACTCAGGTTTATTTAAAAACTGGTGGATCTGGGATACTGTTTTGCTTTGTGTATTTTATATAAAGTTTAGACTCTGTTGATGAGTAATGTTTAGGAATAAAATTATAGTCTATGGAAGCCCTTGGGATATTTATTTCCAGAGGCAAGTATAGTATCTACATATTAAAAAATGAGGAGCCTAGTGCTTCATTTTATATTTTAGAACCAAATGCCAAGATATGTTAAATGAGTTGCCCAAGGTGATAAAAGAAATTAAATATAGTATTGCTATTTGAAATTCAAGTGTACTAAATTCCAGTTTTTATTTTTAAATCTCTTTAACATTTCTTCTTTTAAATTTTTTTCTAAAATTTGGTAATCTCTCCAAGTCTTTACATTAAACATTCATTCAGTGAAATCCACATCCTTCCATTGAAAACCTCGATTGTATCAGGAAGGCTAGTTTAGTAGGCATTGCGATAAAATACATGATCCTTACTCTTGAGAATCTTGTTTTGAAGGGGAAACTTCATGAAGAAGATAGGTTTTGTTCTGCTTTGTAAAAATGGGTGAGATTTAGGTCTGTGGAGTAGAGAGTGAGTAGCAGGCAGGAGAATGGCACACAGGCACAAGTACTGTGTCCAAAATTATATCTGTGGAACTGTGAGTCTAGTTTGACCAAAGTACAGGGTTTATGCAGAGGGTGTGTGGGAGATGAACACACAATTGCTCAGGCCTGACTGTGGAGGGTTTTTTTTTTTTTATTTTTAATAACCGTGAACTTTATGCTGAAGTAGCAGAGTTCCTTTTAAGCGAGGAGTGATAGAGTAAGTTTTATATATATACACACACTATATATAGTGTATATTTTATATATAATATATATATAGTATTTTAGAAAGAAACAAGTAGCAAGAGTGTGTAGAATAGCCTAGTGGTGTGGGAATTTGGAAGTCTGCGGACACACCAGTTAGGAAAATCAGGAGATAATACCAGTTTGTAGGGAAATTGCAAAGTTTACTTTTCTAAACCTTAAGAAACCCTTTTTTAATGGAAATTTTCAAGCAAATGAAGAAAGAAAAAGATTATAATGAATCCTCTAGCCATAAACTTTTCTGCCATTCTTTTTCATTTGTCTCCTGCCACGTCATGTTTTCATTTTATCAATTACCTTTTGCTTTTGGGATTCACATGGAGCTGTGAGAAGCAATACAGAGGAATCACTTGCACCCTTCCAAAATTTCCCTTCATGGTAACATCTTGCAGGATTATAGTACAAAATCACAACCAGGATATTGACCTTGATTCAGTCAAGATACAGAACATTCTGTCCCCACAAGAATCCCTGGTGGTCCCTTGTCAAGAGCCACATCATCCATTTCCTTCTGGCCTCACCCCGTGTACCCCATCTTCCTGGAAGTGGAAGCCCCCTCCTTTTTCTTTAACTAGAGTATTTTAAAACAAATCTTATACAGCATACCACTTAGTCTGTGAACACTTCATTATGCTTCTGTAAAAGATAGCACTAAAAAAAACCCCAAATGCCACTGTCTCAGTCATGTTAATAGTCCCTTAAAGTTTTTTCCTGTTGTCTAAAATATATCTCTTTTTACTGTTTTTCAAGTCAAGATTCAAAGTTCACAACTGCCCTTTGTTGACATAGTTCTTAAGTCTCCCTTAATTTAGAACAATACCCCTTCTTATTTCTCAGGCCACTTACTCGTTGATGAAATTGGGTTACTTTACCCATAGGATTTCCCATATTTTGATTTTGTCTGATTCTTACCATGTTTCCAAATTATTTCTCTTGTTGCCCATATTTCTTGTAAACTAATATTTAGACACAAAGACTCAATTATATTTAGGTTTTTTTTTTGGTAAAAGGGATACACTGGCAGTGCTTCGTATTTCTATCATATTGCCATCACAGGAAGCGGATATCAGCCATTTCACTCTCAGTGATGCTCAGATCAATCAGTGGGTTCAGGAACTGTCATCCTAATCCATCTATCATAAAGTTCACCATCAGCTTGCCATCCATTGTTATCTATCAAAGATTTTTGACAAAGTCTATTATTGCATTAGGGGTTGCCAAGGAGTCGTTTTCCAATTTTCACTCATTTTAGCTATGATTTTTAGAAGAGACATTTCCTTCATCCTAACAAATACATGACAAATGTTTGAGTATTTGCCTTTATTTGTAAGTTTTCAGAATAATAAGCTGATGCCTTAGCAACCCTTATAGGATGTAGTAGTGGTTTTTTTTTTTTGGAGAGTATCATTGTGAAATTACTTAATGATGTTTTTATGTATTATGTGTTTTTCAATACGATGTCATCATTCTTCTTCTTATGTTCATACTGTTTCACCTCCAACCAGTTGGAACCTCTTCCACGTGGAGTCTGTCTCCATTTGTTATGAGCCATGAGGTTTTTAGAGCTTCCTTGATTTTAGGAACAATACCATGTCCCAGGATCATTTAATGCATTTCCTGTCCATACCTGGAATCAGCCTTTCTCTAGAGTCTTGGTTACTTTTAATGGGATATGGGATTTACAGCTCACAGTCTGGATGCAAAGTCCAAATTCATTATTCAACATGTACCTTTTTATTGCCATCTATGATTCAGGACAATGTAATAATAATAATAGTAAGAAGAGCTAAGATTTATATGTGTTGGGAAAATTTTCAGTATTTTACATTCAGTATCTTATTTTATCATCATAGTACCCTATGAGAAGGTATCCTGTTATTCTCACTCTATATCTGAGGATTGTGAGGCACAGAGAAGTCAAGTAAATTACCCAGGGTCATACAGTTATTAAATAGTTTGAGATGGGACTTGGACCCAGGAATTTTGATTCTGAAAACAAGCTCTTATTGGTATGCCACACTGCCTCACTGTCTTTCTGTAGCCAGCTTGCTGAATCAGATGTTTTACAATTTTAATAGCCTTTCCATCAAGTAAGTTAACCAATGAACCATAGTGTATTTAAAAGCTGGTGTATAGTGAGCTATAGGGGACAATGCAGCAGTGGTTAAGAGCTTTCTGACTTTTGAGCCAATACTACCTGGGCCCATAATAACCTTGCTGTAGCCACTTAGTAATTTATGTAATATTGAACAATTAAACTCTTCTGTTGAAACTCTTCTGACACCAATGTTAAATTCTATAGACATAAAAAACCATGAGGAAGAAAACAAGGAGAAAAGTGATTGTGTCTGTGACCTGTTCATAGATGACAGTAAAAACTCTAGTTTATAGTGTGTAGATCATGGGTGGCAAGTGTTTTTTTTTTTTTTTTTTTGAATGAAGTTTCGCTCTTGTTGCCAGGCTGGAGCGCAGTGGCGCGATCTCGGCTCACTGCAACCTCTGCCTCCTGGGTTCAAGCAATTCTCCTGCCTCAGC